ATCTCTGAATAAGCTCTCTGCAGTGTGAATTGGAGATATTTTATGCTAGCAACGACATGAATAACATGAATAACATAGGCTGTCACTTGAGAATGGCTAACGTTATTATAGACTATTACTAATATTACTAAAAGGCCCTTCTTATGGTATACATGTATAAGCATTCTAATCCCTGTTAATATTAAAGAGGAAAATGAATATATGATAATATATTCTTAGGATCTATGAATCTACTTAGGAAATGTTATCGCAGACAGAAAATTGTTAGAGTACATGATTATATGAGATAATCATATCCTGAGAAATAAAATGAACTGGTTTTAATTCTGTCACCCTCACATGAACGAAAGGTAGTAGACAAACTTCAGTTGTTCATTTAGATTTTCTTACAGCATAGGAATTAAACATGTACCCAGTATGCTACCTTTGACTTGGAAGTTAATCTTGGTTTTTATCTTTCTAATATGAATGACTATTAAATAAAACAACAAAAAATGTTCAGTGTTACAAATTGTAATCGTACTTCATTATTAAAGTTTAGTTATATTAATAATCCTTAAGTTATAAGTAACATATTACATATTTTAATAAAAACTCAAACCTTAAATATTATCTACTACCTTTCATTCATAATAGACATGATGATAGTCCCTAAATCAATTTAGAATTTTAATTTCATGCCAATCACACTACCAAAAGGGTCACTTTATAGAACTAGATGTTGTTCAGTCGTGTCCTACTCTTTGTGACCCCATTTGAGATTTTCTTGGCAAAGATACTGGAGTGGTTTGCCATGTCCTTCTCCAGATCACTTTTACAGATGTGGAACTAAAACCAACAGGATTAAATGACTTGCCCATGGTCACACAACTAGTATCTGAGGCCAGATTTGAACTTAGAAGGATGAGTCTCCCTGACTTTAGGCCCAGCACTCTATTCACTGTGCCACCTAGTTCCAGAAAGATGTTCTACATTTGGCACAGAGGCTTGACCTTGTGCAGGGAGCAGGAATATATTGTGGTTATTTAGTTATTTCAGTAATGTGTTACTCTTCATGATCTCATTTGGGGTTTTCTTGGCAAAGATAGAGTGGTTTTCCATTTCCTTCTCTAGCTGATTTTTACATATGAGGAAACTGAGGCAAACAGGATTAAGTGACTTGTCCAGGGTCACACAGTTAGGAAGTGTCTGAGGCCAGATTTAAACTCAAGAAGATGAGTATTCTTGATGCCAGGCCTGGCACTCTATCCACTGTGCCATGTAGCTGTCCCTTATAGAACTAGACAAGAGATCAAAAAATTCATTTGGTAGAAGAAAACATCAAGAATTCAAAAAGAAATAACAAAAAAAATTGTAGGATTGGCATTAATGGATCTCAGATGATAAGTGGACAATCGTGGAAACTACTTGGTACTAGTTGAAAGAACAGAAAAATTGATCATTAGAACAAATTTAGTAGGCAAAAGCAAACAGAATAGCCTAGTAGTCTTAAGTAAATAACATAGCATAAGAAACCATATTTGTCAAATGAATATGAACAGTAATATGAAACTTTCAAAGCTGCATATTAAAATCAGACAATTATCTCTTCTTTTTAGATGAATGACATCATTGGAACAATAAGAGATTCTAACCTAAAACTGACTCTTGCCTTTGGAATAGGAATGCATCATGCTGGACTGCATGAAAGAGATAGAAAAACAGTGGAAGAATTATTTGTAAATTGCAAAATCCAGGTATCTTATTTTCTACCTGTTGATACTTAAATATTCTTTTGAGAATTGGTTAGTAAAATTATGTTAATTATCTTTTTTTCTTTTAGGTTCTTATTGCTACAAGCACGTTAGCATGGGGTGTAAACTTTCCAGCTCATTTAGTCATTGTTAAGGGAACAGAATATTATGATGGAAAAACAAGACGCTATGCGGATTTTCCCATTACAGGTAATATTGCAAAAATTGGAAAAAAATTAATGAAGATTTTAACCACTAAGAACTGTGTTAGCATATGTTATATGTTAAGGCAGAGGGGTCAGACTCATAGCCCAGTGCATACATACCTCAGGAACAAAACTCTTTGGTGCATTGGGAACCAAATTAAAATGTAATTGAGAAATATTTAACAAAATACAAAATACAATAGAACATATGTAATGTTATTTTGTGGCTTTCTCAGTCAGTATGCCAGGTCAGGGTCTAAATTTGGGTTTGATTCTACTGTCTTAGGGAATTGTTTTTATCTGTCCTCTGGTAAGCAAATTTTCTTTACTGAAAGAAGAATTAAGATGTATTTGTTACTTGTTCATCTAGTTTATTAGATTGAAAAGATTTCTTATGATGCCATATTGAATACAAAGTACAGTGTACTGATTGTTCATTATTGATGTTTCAAAATATTATTTTTTGCCTTAGCAAATATGAAAATAATGACAAATAATAGGAACCACCAATGTGTTTTTTAAATTGATTTAATAGAAAGTAGTACTTAACACCTGACTTGACGTACCAAAGTGACATTCTAGTTTCTCTCCTTTCCAGAATTGTGTCTTATGACTTCCCTTTTATACATTGCATATTCCATAGCTCTTATTATACTTCAGACATATTCTGTGCTTTGTTTCTTTTGAACCTTTGCTTAAGCTGTTCTTTCTCCCTAAAATGCATTTACCCCCTCCCAGACATCAATTGTCCAATTCCTGTAAACCCTTCATTTCAGATATCTTTATAAAGTCTTCTGTTCGTCTTAGCAATAATGAACTCATTCTCTGAATTTTGTATCTCTTTTGTTATACTTTTACAGTGTGATTTGTACTAGTTGTTTGGGTAGATTGCTTATATCCCATGCTCAATCACAATATTGGTTGTATGCTTGGATAAAATTGCTCTAATATTTTGAACAAGAATAAGCTATTAAACTATACAAAAGTGGTGCTTTAGTAGTTCTCTGAGAATTTCCAATGGTTACATATATTCTGTAGTGAGAGATATATTTTTACTCACTACCAATTATATTTTTACTCACTAACCAGTTGTAAAATATGTATATCAGTTAAATAATCACTAAATTCTTGGTTTGCTGAACTATTCAAGCCATGATTTTTTTTTTTTGTAGCAAATAGTAAAAAGATTTTTTAGCTGTTTTTTTTTTGGTTTTGGTTTTGGTTTTTGGTTGTTTTTTTTTAATAGCCTATCAATATGTGTAGCACAGTTTTTGTTGGGAGGATGGGATGGGAAATATCTTAATAGATTTTGTCAAAAGCTTCATATTTTAATACCTAAATTTACTTTATACAATATATAATGACTTTATTACATTAGATACATAGTACATACATCCTGTGTAATTCAGTTAGATTCAACAGACATTTATTAAATTTTCTATATTGTGATAGACATTGTGCTAAACGCTGGGTATATAAACACAAAAGCAGAGCAACTCTTGCCTGCAAAGAATTTGTGTTTTACTAGGGGGCAGAAAACAACGATATGGACAAGTAAATACGCTATAATTGAGGGGACTCTTGAAAGGCCAAATGTGAGAAGGGGAACATGACAGAGACTTTAAAAGAATGTGAGATTTCAAAAGAAAGGAGAACATTCCTGGTTTGGAGGATAGCCTGCACAGAGACAGACAAAGGAATTAATATTTGATGAATGAATAACTTCTATTAAAATTATAGCATCACATAATAGCCATTTCTGGCACCTTACTAATCATATTTTTATATGCAATCCTAAGGTCTTGTGAGAGCCTAGTTTTGCATTATGGTGGCTTATTGACATAAGTATGAGTTTTCTGAATGAATGCTAACTTAGGAAACACAATAGTAAAGTGGCAGGAACAACATAACACACTTTTAGTATTAACTATGTAAGCTGTACAACTGCCTTATTGGTTATTTTATTTTATACATATGAAGAATAATTAAATGTGTACCAGAATCAATAAATACATCTCATACCCTTTGTCATATGAGACTTCTGTTTTCTCTATTATAGATGTACTTCAAATGATGGGACGTGCTGGTAGACCTCAATTTGACGACCAAGGCAAGGCTGTAATCTTGGTTCATGACATAAAGAAAGACTTCTACAAAAAATTTCTTTATGAACCATTCCCAGTAGAATCAAGGTGAATTTTAGTAGAAAGAAAAAAATAAGTTTAAATGAGTTAAGATTTTGTGGCATATTTATATTTTCTCATATTTGCAAATAAAACCAAATATAAGTTTTTAGTTCAAATAATCAGAAGATTTAAAATGGAATTTAATAAGCAAATACATCATAGTAAAACCCCATTTTTCTGAAATACTAGCCTAACAGAAATAAAATGAAATGGACTTGCAATAAAAATTCAAGTTTTGTTACCAGTATTTTCTTTCAAAATTAACCTACCTAAAATATGGCAGAAGTTCTTATTGGAGCCAATATTTCAAGCTGCCTTTATACTTGCCGCTCTATTTTCACCCTACCCTTATAGCCCCATTGACTGGACTGTCCCATTGTCACTTCACTTCGGCCTTTTCTATATTTCATTTCACCCACTCTCACTTCCATTTGTCTGATTTGTTATACTCTGCTCCCTTGATATCCAACATTTTTTTTCCCACAAGGTTCCAACACCTTTATTGTCATATTTTTGTCCCTCAGATAATTTGATTTGCCCATAACTTTAAAAAAATTGTTTCATTCAGGGAAGTGTAACATTGATCATTTTTAAAATTGATGTTTTCTGTGTGGCCTGACTCAAAGGAGAATTCATCACAACTGCAGCTTATTTGTGGGAAAGACCTGAAACCAGCAAAGATCTCTACATTTAGAGAAATCAGCCTATCATTTTTCTAATGAAAATCTCTTAAAATGAAATGCTAAAGTAATTTTTTTAAAAATAGCTCTTAGTTTTTAAAAAATCAGTTCCAAAAGCTTCATTCAAGTGAGATTTTTAAATTATTATTATTTTTTTTATTTACAAGCATTTCTTTTCTCTCCCACTTCTCTTCCCCTCCACTGAGGGAGGAAGGTGGGCAAAATCTTTGTAACAAATATGCATGGTCAAGCAAAACAATTTGCTCCATTGGCCGTGATTAAAAAGGTGGGTAGAATTCTTCATCCTCTATCATGAAATTATAGGTGGTCATGGAGTTGATCATTTAATTCTTCTGTTCATGTTTGCAATGTTGTTACCATTTAAATTGTTCTCATAATTCCTTTCACTTTACATTACTTTATACAAGTCTTCCTAGGTTTCTCTGAAATTGTCTCCATCTTCATTTCTTATAGCATGATAATATTCCATTACATTCGTGTACCATAATTTGTTCCCTATTCCCTAATTTATTGGCACTCCTTTCTTTTTAGTTCTTTGCCACTTCAAGGAGTTGCTAGAAACATTGTGGTTATTGTAGGATTTCTTTACTTTCTTTGATCCTTTTGGGGCATAGCATTAGAGTGACAACACTGAATCAAACATTATACACAGTTTAGTAACTTTTGGGACATACTTCTAAATTTCTTTCTAGAATACTCAGACCAGTTAATTCACAGCTCTACTATCCGTGCATTGATATTGCACTCCCTTCCAGTCCTCTCTCCATGCCCTAGCATTTGTCACCTATGTCAATTTTGCTAATTTGATGGGTATGAGGTAGAATTTCAGAGTTGCTTTAATTGGCATCAGTCTAATTATTAATGATTTGAAGCAGTTTTTTTTTTTTTTTATGTGGCTTTGATAGCTTGGCTTTCTTTCCTTGAGAACTGCCAGTTCTTATCCTTTAGTTATTTATCAATTGGTAAATGACTCTTATTCTTATAAATTTTAATCAATTTCATAGAGACTTGCAGCAAAGATTTTATTTCCCTAGTTAACTGTTTCTTCAATTACTTTTTAAAATTACTATCAAGAACCCTTTTGATACGAGCAAAGCCAAAACAAAAAAGTCAGGCACTTCGTCATGACCTAGAATTGTATTTAACTCCAAAGAGAAAATTAATAAGTAATAAGAAAAAAATTACATTGATTATCCTAATATCTCTAATTTTTTATTATATACTTTAATGTAAAATGGTGTGATAGTCATTTACTTTTTTTAGTGATTAAAATTAATTAGAATTTTCATTCTGATTATTGAATGTAACACATAGTACAGATCTATAGAAGATATATAAGATATGATTAAAAATAAAGATATTTCATTAGCTTGTAACATAGTTTGGATTTGGAAACACTAGACTGGACTACTTTTTGCTCATGTCCAAATGAAAAATTATAGTGTATATTTATATAGTGACTAAATAGTTGAAAGAATAGTTACTGAGTTTTATGTTAAATGGCATAACTTAGTAGCAAATGAATAAATATATGTATGTATATACATATATGTAGTCACTCATTTACATATTTGTTTATTAACTTGAAAGCACCATCCCAAAGAAATTTAAGACAACTTAAGTTTCTTTAAAAATTTTAAATGAAAATGCACATTTATTTTGTTTCTTCAATTAATCAATAAGCATTTATTAATGCTTCTTTGTGACCATATGACTGGCACTGGGCTAGGAACTGAGGATAAAAAATAAATGAAGCAATCATGCCTTCAGAGGATCTACATTTTATCAAAGGAAACAACATGCCCTATATAAGTATCCATAAAATGTGCAAAATAAACAGGATGATTTGGTGAGGAGAGATGCTAGTAGTTTGTGGGATCAGGAAATGCCTCATATTGAAGAAGGTGCTTAAACTAAGCTATAGAACACAGTTTATTAGAATTTTAATGGGCAGAAACAAGGGAGGTAGCCTTATGTAAGGACAATAAGGCCAGATTGGCTAGATTGTAGTGTGTGTGAAAGCGAGTAATATCTAGAAAATAAACTGTTGTATACAAAGTGGTGTTAAATTTGGTTTAGTGTTTGTTTTATATTTATGCTTGGTTTTTGTTTTTCATTTATGTTTAGCTTACTAGACGTGCTTTCTGATCATTTGAATGCTGAGATTGCTGCTGGTACAATAACATCCAAGCAGGATGCAATGGATTACATTACCTGGACTTATTTTTTCCGTCGGCTTATCATGAACCCCAGGTAAGTAAAGTGACCACAGTTTATGAAAGTTAACTTATCTGTTTCTTCTCCACATTCAAGAAGATAACGTTTAAAAAGTAGCAGTTACATTTTCAGTTTTTAAAAAATTGAAAAAATGTCAGAATAACGTCTTCAGTATAACTCTGAAAATTGTAGTTGCATGAATTCTACCACAGAGTAATATAAAATGTAAATTTGGCCCACCAGTGTCAATATATTTCTAAAATATGATATCAATAAATTTAAAATCTGTCTGTGTACAAATATGTTTATTTGTCCTTTCATTATTTAACTTGTTTTAATTGTCATATGTTATATCAGTCAATATGTGGAGGACATAAAAGCGCAAATATGGTTCCTGCCTTCAAGGTGCTTACAGAAAACTACTACTTTAGTAGGGCTTTGGAAAATAAATAGGTCATAATGGACTGGAATAGCTAGGAAAGATTTCATGAAGTAGTTGGACTTGTGCTTATTCTTGAAGAACTTTTTTTTTAATTAATTTATTTTGATTTATCAGCAATCACTTCTATAAGCTTTTGAGTTTTAAATTTTGCTCTCCCTCCCTGAGACGGTACACAATCTGATATAGGCTATACATATACATTCCTATTACACATATTTTCACATTAGTGATGTCATAATTAAGAATTAGAACCAATAGGAGGAACCGCCAGGAAGAAGAAACAATACACAACAGAAGAAAAAAAATAGCAAATAGTATGCTTCCATCTTTATTCAAACTCCATAATTCTTTCTTTGGATGTGGATAGCATTTTCCATCATGAGGCCTTTGGAGATGTCTTAGATCCTTACATTGCTGAGAAGGGCTAAGTCTATTAATGTTAGTTACTGCACAATGTGGCTGTTACTGTGTATGAAGTCCTCTTGGTTCTGCTCACTTCACTCAGCATCAGTCCATATAAGTCCCTCCAGGTTTTTCTGAAGTCCACCTACTCATCATTTCTTATGGCACAGCAGTATTCCATTACATTCGTATACCACAACTTGTTCAGCCATTCCCCAGTTGATGGGCATCCTCTCAACTTCCAATTCTTTGCCACCACAAAAAGAGCTGCTGTAAATATTTTTGTACATGTGGGTCCTTTTCCCATTTGTATGATCTCTTTGGGATATAGCCCTAGAAGTGCTATTGCTGGGTCCAAGGGTGTGCACATTTTTATAACCTTTTGGGCATAGTTCCAAATTGCTCTCCAAAATGGTTGGATCATTTCACAACTCCACCAACAATGCATTAGTGTTCCAGTTTTCCCACAGAAGAACTTCTTCTTAAAGAAATTTAGGCAGATAATCTTAGGGGAGTCATAAATAATAATTAGTAGTGCTATTATGAGTATTATCTTTGACTAACATAAGATTTTTCCAAAAGTTTTTCCTTTCTAGATCAACTTTATTCTGTCTTGTTATTGCTCAATGACACTAACATCATTGTTGTTTCTGTTTTTTTAATCTAAACCAGGAGTTTTCAGCTTGAGGTCCAAGAACATGTATTTTGGTAACATGACTAAAATGACTGAACAACAACAACAGACTGCCAGAGGGGTCTGTGACATAAAAGCTTAAGAACCTCTCATTTAAACCCCAAAGTCATGGCCTGGTTACATTACTTTTTTTTTTTAAGTTAATTAATTAGGTTTATAGTTAATAAAAAATCAGTTTTTGCTCTCTCTTACTCACCACCTCTGTCATTGGAGCAAAACCAAAAAAAGATAAAGAAAACTCTTTTGACAATCCTAATGCCTTTCCATTTAGATATAGATACGTTTTATACCAAAGCATCCTTTGTCTTTAATACAAGGACGAAGTTATCACAACACTTAGAACAACCAGGGACCCTCCTCAATGCTAATCAATTAGCAACTGGTATGAAAAATGAAATAATCCTCATGTGTATAAAGAGGATCTCCTTCCATGAAAGGGGAATATAATAATTGGGTCCTTGCGACATAAGTGAAGATCCCTGCCTTCACTTGTTTCAACATAATATATTTAAAATGTGACCAGTGTACATGGTTACAGTTTGATCAATGTGAATTTTTATTTTTCCTTTCAGTATTAAGCCTCATGTTATTGTTGTTGTTGTTAAGTCATTCAGTTTTATTCGACTCTTTGTGACCCCTATAGGATTTTCTTAGCAAAGATACTGGAGGTCTTTGCCATGTTCTTTTCCAGTAGATTAAGGAAAATAGAGGTTAAGTGATTTGCCCAGGGTCACACAGCTAGTAAGTATTAGGGGCCAGATTTGAGCTAAGGTCTTCCTGAGCTCTATCCACTGAGTCAACTAGCTGCCTCCTTTAAGTCTTATGGAAAACAGTAAATTTTAAACACAGTGAACACAATAATATGGTCTTTACAGAAGCTTAGTTTTATTGACCCAACTCTTTCCCTTCAAGCCAATGAAATACATTTCTAAGAAATTGTAAACTTGTTTAATTTCACTTGAACTACTATCAGTAGACCAACACTCTTGTGTTGTTTTCGTAATGGTTTTCCGGAAATAATACTTTGTGTTTGTGTTTATTTGTCAGCTGTTACAACATATTGTATCATCTAAAAAATTTAGCATGGACCACAGCAAGCCATGGAATTCTTGTGGTTTTTTTTATTTCAGCTCAGTGACCTAAGAAAATTGTATTTATTGCCATGGTCTTTAAAGAGAAGGCATGTTCTCTGGAAAGCATAATTATCATACCTTACAACACTTTTAACTTTGTAAAACACTTTCATAGCATTCATTTGGCTGAGAGGGATGAAATTGTCATCATTAATACTCCCATGGAGCCTAAAATGTCCGTGGTTTTCAGACTGTTCTGTCTAGGAATCCGATAGCTTCTATCATAAAATGAGGCTAGGATCCCACTGCTCCTTTTATAGTGAGAACAGGTTTCAACCCACCATCTACTTTTGTAGACAGGGCCCTAACTGTTTACCTCAAAGCCCCTTTGCTTCTAGGAAACCTAAGTTGGACACAGCAGGTGACCTGTATATGAAACTGCAGTAGCAATGGTCCTTATTTCATGAAGGACAAAAATATTACTTTGTGTAAACAGTTATAGTAGTTAATTGTTATTAAATAAAGACTATGAGTTAATTAACTTCCATTTTTTGCTTTTTTTAAAGTTATAGAATCATAGATTTTATAGATGGAAGAAACCCCAGTAATCAATTCCAACCCCTAACTGAAGTAAGAGTCCTGTTTACAATATCCCTGACAAATAATCATCTACGCCCAACTTGAAGACTGCCAATGACATATCCCTCCAGGGCCATTGAAAATAATCCTTATATATCTTCCATGTGGTGGTCTTTAATTTCTTTGAAGACAGCATATAGCCCTAAATCATCTCTTCTGCAGGCTAAATATCCCCACTTAAAATCTACCTATGTTATAGTTTCATCACTATCTTCCCTCTAGGCAGTTTAAGTTTGGCAATGTCCCTTCAAAGATGTGACACCTAAAATTGAACACAATATTCCAGTAGTTCACTGGGAATATTACCTACCTCTTTTTTGAATACTCTGTACAGCTTTATTAGCTTTTTTGGCCTCAAAATTATACTGGTAACTTCCGTTAAGCTTTCAGGTCTCTGAAATTCCTGTATCTTTTTCATATAAATCTCTTTCTAGCCTTGCCATTCTCATCTAATCAGCATGACGAGTCAGAAGAGATTTGGGATCAAGTCCTACCCATATATTTACTAATGCCTATACTTACTAACAGTATGACCATGGACCAAATCACATAATATCTCTCAACATCAATTTCCTTATATGTAAAATACATATCAAAATATCTATGGTTTGACCTCAGAGGGTTATTGTGAGAATCAAATGAAATATTTTGTGTAAATCACTTTGCAATCTTTAAACCATTATATAAATGCTATAATAGTATAATTATTAACAATCAGTGGATACTAGTGGATACAAGGCTAAGCTTGGAGTCAGGAAACCTTGTCTTCAAATTCTGCCTCAGATACCTACTAGTCACCTACTCTTTTCTGCTCATTTTCTTTTCCCTGAACCCACTGTTTTTCAATTTGAGATCAGCAACTCAGAGGATCAATTCGTTTATCGGCAACTCAGAGGATCAGCCATCAACCTTGAATGTCATAGACTGTCTGGAAGACTTTTACATCTATTTAGTTTTTCCTGAATATTAAGTTGACTTTTTTTTTTCCAAGTAAATCTGGGAACTCATTTTGGGGCTTAATGAAGTTAGTACAGTAACGTAACCTTATTCCATCTGTCAGTGCTCCCCATTCCATTTTGTGCTGGGCCTTCTACATCACAGGGGCAAACATCTCTCATCAAGAATTTTTGTACAATTTTAACATACACTTGAGAGATTCTTTGTTGGAAGAGAGGATCTTAGTCTGGATTTTGTTCTGTAGATTCAAATGGTTTTTATAGTCAGTAAACACAATGGGATTTTGTTTTCTCTGTACCTTTCAGCTAATTATGTGACTGTAGAAAATATTTTGAGAAATATTTGCCTATTCCCTTACATTTTTATCAAAGAAACTCACTATATATATATGTATAGATAGATAGATAGATAATTTCATAATGATTTTATAAAAATAAAAAAATTAGATTTCTGTATCAGTAATTATTAATATTCTCTTAATCATCTTTTTTGCCTAATAATACCTGGCATGATATTTCCCTTCTTCTGGTATCCTTCCTTTCTTGAAAATATCTTCTATAATAATCCCTCGCTGCTTTTAAAATTATATTATCATCTTTCCCAACAATTCTTGATTTTTAGACTTGTTTCGATGTTTCTGTGGGGTATCTGAAGCAACATTCCTCTGTAGCAGACAAAATGTGCTTTTGTACTTAAAAGATAGTTTTCAACAGAAATATAAAGTCCAGGAGCAGCTAGGTTGCACAGAGGTTAGAGTGCCAGTCCTGAAGTCAGGAGGACCTGAGTTCAAACCCGGCTTCAGACCAAACACTTACACTTACTAGGTGTG